GATCCATCCATCCATCCATCCATCCATCCATCCATCCATCCATCCATCCATCCATTATCGTCAAAGCTTTTCTGGGAGGACTCCAAGGCTTTTCCAAGCCAGCTGAAAGACATAGTCTCTCCATAGTGTCCCGAGTCTTCCCTGGTGTCTCCTCCCAGTTGGACATGTCTGGAAAACCTCCATTGGGAGGTGTCAAGGAAGCACCCTTATCATATATCCGAACCTCCTCAAATGGCTGGTTGTGATTTTGTCTCAGCTACTGCTACACCAAATTTTAGCTCACATTCTGTAAATGTTATTGATAGTCATTTTTGTGTTTGCAAAGGTTGATTACCTGTGGCAGCCATCTTGAATTAGGTTGACTCTAGAAATTAATTAGTTTTAGATGATTACTTTCTTTGAGTTTCATTAAAATATGTCCAGGGTATCATAGGACATTTTGATAACAGACAGAAACTTTACTCTAATAGCTAAGAGTAAAACTTTAGAGCTATGATTTTAGTCAGTGTATTTTTGAAGATGAGTCTCATCTACAACTACACCGAGGTTTAGTTAATAACTGTAAAACAAGATATTTTGGGGTTGGAGTCAATGTCATTTAGCTGTGGTGGTCACATTGGAATGGGTTGACTCTAAAATAGAATCACAAATCTGAGTGTTTCATTACAATCTGTCCTGTAGTTCATGAGATAGATTGGGAACAAGCAAACACTCACAGACACACAAAAGCATTATCGCCCTTTTATCTTCAGTGGCGGTCCATAATGGCCAGTCTCAGTGGGAACGAGAACATGAAGAGCAGTGATGTTTCCTCGATTATTCTTTTTTAAAGTGGGATTAGTCAAAAGCTGTAAATAACAATTAGTACTGCAGTCTGACTGATGAGGCTGAGGCTAAGGCAAGTGACTTTTGACCTTCCTTCTACTCACCGAGAGCAGACAAAACCAAATATTTATGACATAATCTCTTTTTACAGTTCCTAGTTTATCTGCAGAAGCAGATATATGAGGGGTAATTAAACCATTTCACAAACATGACCCAAGCAGTCCTGAAACTAAAACTACATTTTATTTTGTGCTGAAAAAAACACCTTTTGTAAGATTTAAAAATAATATTTTTTGTCCTATTTAATCCTATTTACGGTGAGAGAATTTCATTTATTTCCCACATTATACTAATTTTTCCCTGATGGCAGAGATTTAGCGCTTACTACCAGGAAAGGCCTGTCACTTGTATATGTTTTCTTTTAGCAAAATATTTTATGAACCACTCGACAGATTCTACTGGAACTCAAAAGTATTCACTGGATGTACATCTACAACTGATTAACTTTTGGAGACATCCTGTGGCTGCCACAGCTAATCAGCATAAGCAAGTAGAAAATGACTATAACTGAGTAAAATTAGCAAATTTTGAGCTGATGTTTGGTGTGACGGTTCAGAAAGAGATCTTCAATACATACTTGAAGCGCTAATTGATTGCACAAGATTTATGTTTAAATCCTTGGCATGCAGGGCAGTGAGTGTTATACATTCCTTTAAAGAAAGCTAGTTCCATTTTGCTTTTGTTTGATCCATTCCCATCCATTAACACTAGACAGAAGTGATTCAGAACCAGCAGAAACCTTGTCCAGTTGTGAGTGTGGGGACTGTGCAATGTTTAAGTCCCTCCTGCTGTGTGTCTGCCGACAAGCTCTAGTTGTCAGAAAATGGAAAATATGCCACATAGTTTCCAAATGATGTTCAGCCTCTTCTCCCCTCTCTTCCTCTCAGGAGCTCTGTCTGATCCCGTGTCGGCTTCTGCCAGAGTCATTAACCACCAAGAGGTGGTCAGTACCATTACTCCAGCTAGTTTAAAACATTTGTGAACATGAATTTCTCTCTTAACTAAGAGAACTTTTAGAATATTATACTAAAGAAAACTGGAAGAATCAGGCCGTTCAGTCAGCTGAAATTAAACACCCAGCACTTCTAATAGATTCATTACTTATTCTCTGTCCCATCTTCTTCTAACTGTAAATGCTGACATTTGTTTGCCTGTCAACACTTTTTAGTGCAGCTTTTCGACCAACCAGCAGCTTGAGTCCCTCATTTTGAAGTGGCTTGTGGTTTTACTCTCAACCAGGGATTTTGTGGTAATGCATCAACTAAAAGTACATTGAGTTAGTTTTTTCTAGTTGCTTATATAAGAGTGCTGTGCTTGTGATAGTGCCAATAGAAGATGATTAAAATCTTGTTAAGGTGCTTAAACAAGCAAACTGCTGTTTAACCTGAAAACGAATGCTCATCTGTTTGTGTTAATAAATCTGTCAATAGAGGCTTCTGCCTTCAGCAAGTCCCTGCTTGTAAACTTCAGGTGTTTCTATTCTTCATGACTAAATGTTGGGTGTTAAAAATGTTCATTGTTCTTAGAATAAAACCTTTTCAACATCTGTAAAGTATCTGTTCTGATCCCTTTGCTGTTATTCCTGAGCATGTCAAAGGAAAACCGAGATACAGTAATGCGCTCTTTATCCTTTGAGCTTCAACGACATTCAGTGAAAAAGCAATAGTTGATCGGAGGAAACTCAAGTGGAATCACTTTGTCTGACTCAGAACTTCGAACAATGTTATCTGCTGAAAAAATTGTAAAACCACCAACTCCTTTTTTTTAGAGAGCATAAATGTTTGACAATTCCCTCCTCAACTGCCAAACACAACTGAATGATGGCAACCAGCTGGTAATAGAAAGAAAACATGGTTTGTCTTGTTATCTTGTTTTTAGGCATTTAAACTCTGAGAACAGTGGCATGGAAAAATGTTATGGGTGTGATACTGTGACTATTTAACACCATAGAATACAATATCTTGATAATGGAAAACGTTCAGTGCCTAATCCTGTCTCTTTATAAAACGTAATGTTGCATTTATTTCACTGCAGTTTAACTTTTATGGGGGGTTGACTTGGACTGATTTAAGTCAAGTCAAGTCAAGGTTCTTTACTGTTAGGGTGCATTCACACTAGCCCTGTTTAGTCCGATTTAATCGAACTCTAGCTCGTTTTCCTTGAAAGTCCGGTTTGTTTAGGGAGGTGTGAACGCGCCATCGAACTCTGTCACGGAACAAAAAGGCGAACTCTGGCCCGGGCTAAAACCTAGGTCTCGGTCCGGTAGAAGCGAACTCCAGCGCGGTTCGAGTGCAGTATGAATGCAAACAGACCGAGCCCCGCTCCGCAGGGTAAACAAACACGCATTTCTCTGACCTTATATGGAGCCGTCAACTGCCTTGTGTGGAAAAACAATATTCTCCATGGTCTTCTGTCTCATCTTCTGCTCATGCTAAGTCCATTTTTGAAAAATGACAAAATGTAACACCTAAAACTGCTAAAACTTGATGCCACTTCGTTTTTATTTTTATTTACAGAAGAAGAAGAAGACGTGTCTTCAGAGGTTTTTGTGTCGTTTCTTTCAGTA